AGAGAGGAATAACAAATTGTAGTCATATTACGATAAAGGATTCAGACACGAGCGATAATTTTTTTAATTACTCAGTTTCAGGCAATTGGCAGCCTTAATGTACATTACAGTAAAATGGCAAACATTAATATGCGTAAAGGTCTGCCTGCAAGCTTTGTGAGGAATCATCTAACATTCATTAACGGAAGCAGGGTAGGAAACTGATAAGACCAGAAGCGCAGAATGTCACACATATTGGCAGCTCATTTGTAGCCAAACACAATTTCAACACTGCCTGGCACTGAGTCACACTTACAAATAAATGCAGTGCTTACTCCAGTGATTCCCTCCAACACACTTTACCATTCGGAAAATCAAAGAGAGATTAATAATAATGATAATAATAATCCTTGCATTTGATATAGCGCCTTATCACTTTGTTGAGATGTCTCAAAGTACTTCACAGCATATGCTGTAAAGTGTAGTGACTGTGTATTTTGTGGGCGAAACACGGCAGCTAATTGCGCACAGCAGTGTCCCACAAACAGTCGTGGATTGAGTGACCAAATTATTATTGTTTTTGTGGAAGGGATCATTGCCCCCAGAAATGTGATTGACAATCGACTAATAACCGGGTTGCTGCTCACCCGGTAAACAAAGGCGTGTGGAGTAAGGAAACTAGCTCAATTTGGGGTTGCTAGAGGGAAAATCAAATAAAATGCTGGATAATAATATCAGTATTATTTTGCTTTGAAGCCTAGTATTTTACTTGGATACCATAAAAAATCTCTGCAAGTCAAAGCCCTAATGAAGGGTGATTTCAATTGAATAATTAGCCCAGGGCTGCAAGATTGTAGCATGCAAAATACATGGGACATCATAAAAAATCATAAATTTCAGCACAGCAGGCCATTTGACTCATCGTTCCTATGCTATGTTGTGCCAGCTCCCCACTCTTATCTTGTCTACTTGTATCTCATTTCCCCGCATATATTCTTAAATGTCGAGCTAATGCCTTTTTGACTCTGCCTCAACAGCCACTTACTATAATGTATTCCACATCCTAATAAGCCTTGGTGTCATATAGTTTTTTCTGCACCCCCTTCAGGTTTCCAGCAAGAATCTTGATTCCCCTCCCCCTCCCCCACCCGATTCCAATTCACAAACTAGTGGAAATAATCTCTCACTATTTACTCTCTTAAATCCTTTGAAATAATGTTGAACATTTTAGATATACTTTTAATCTTTTCTATCCTCCTTTTTTTGGGGGGAGGGGGGAGGTAAGCAGGATTTCCTTAAAGCTGAAGTGGCTCCAAGGTGACAATGCTTTGCAATGCAATGCAGACTTGAGTCAATTCTCTGTGGCAGTGTTGGTAGTCTGTTCCTGAGCCAGGCAGGTCCGCAGTTCTCCAGAGCACTGCGGTTGACAGACTCAGTGACAGGACATGGAAGGGCAGACAAATCACTGGGGTCAGGGATTCATCTCACTCAGCTCCTGTTAACCCTGCAAGCCAAAGCCCTAACGTTGGGTGATTTCAGCTAACTAAGCTGTGGGAAGCCTGTCAGACAGTGTTTTCAAAGGCAAGCTATCAGTTTTTAGCCGGTTGAACTCCAGCATACCCAAGCTTTGGCACTCGCAACCTGTGCCTAATACTCTATGGAAATAGGTAAGCAGGATGCATCCAACCAGGGAAATTTCTATGTGTAGGTGGCATACATATGTGAAACTCAATCTGGTTTAGATATGAAGATTCATTGATAAAAAATATATTTTAAACAGACCCATGTCAAACACTACCTCTATTCTCCCAGGTACGAGTTAAATATCCCCTGCAGAAAGTGCAAGATTAATAGCTATTGCCCACTACTTCGATTTCTCAAACAAAGGTTCCTCATAAAAGAGTCATCTATAAAAATCAAACTATTCACAGAGGACAAATATTTCCGTAGGAACAAGAGCTAATTCTTTACTCAGGTTATGCATAATATATGCACTACGTTTTGGAAAGGGAATAGTACTCTTACAAAAGTATTAGGGAAAGACTGCCCAGAGCAAAAATTAAAATAATGTTTTGAAACATCACCAGATGTGAAACATCACATTTGGGTGCGGTGCAATCTCTCTCAAATTTAAAATACTGCATACTACATTTCAAAGACCCAGATTATGCACTATGATCCTGCACACAGTCGGAAATAATAATAATAATCCTTGCATTTGATATAGTGCTTTTCAAGTCTTCTAGATGTCTCAAAGCGCTTTACAGAATATACTGTAAAGTAAATTCACCGTATATTTGTGGGCGAAACACGGCAGCCAATTGCGCACATAAATATCCCACAAACAGTCGTGGATTGAGAATGACCAATTTATTATTGTTTTGTTTTGGAGGGATTATTATTAGGGGTGTGGAGTAAGAAAATGGTCACATTTTCAATTTATTTAACTGTGTTATATCACAAGGCAGAAAATATGTACTTTCTCAGTGCTTGCAACTTGTATTTTACACACACACACATATATATATATATACACATACATACACCAGAAGGGAGATTCTAATAATAACAATAATCCTTGCATTTGATAAGGTGCTTTTTCAAGTCTTCTAAACGTTTCAAAGAGCTTCACAGAAGACTGTAAAATGAATTGACTGTATATTTGTGGGCAAAACGTGGCAGGCAATTGTGCACAGCAGTGTCGCACAAACAGTTGTGGATTGAAGTGACCGATTTTATTATTTTTTGAAGGATTATTATCAGGCTTGTAGAGTAAGGAAATTTGCCCAAAGTTTTGTCCTGCCAGGAATTAAATCCAGGTCTCTCGCTTCCGAGGCGAGTGCACTAACCACTGAGCTACAGGACTCCTCAATTCTCCCGATGTCCTGGCCAACAATTTCCCAAGATATTATTTATTTAATGGATGTTTTGGGGGCTTTGCTGTGCACAAATTGGCTGCCTTGCTTGCCTACAAAATACATAGTCACTACACTTTACAGTAAGTTCTGTAAAGAGGTTGGAGGTTTTCTGATGACATAAGGTGCCAGATCAATTGCAATGATTATTATTGTATTGTAAAAGTTAATTCCATTATTTCTACAAATTCAAAGCTTTAACTAAAAATTAGAATAGCCGAGCTTAAATTATCAACCCTAATCATCTCTGATATGGTCATTCTCCCACTATATTCTGTATCTACTGCTGTGACATATTTTTTAAAGATGGCTGTAATTCCAGAGAGAATAAATTGTCAAATAGTCTCACATACAAGTGTCTCATGAGATTTTATGCAATAGTCATTAGTATAGTCATTACCATGGTGATGCATCAGTGTATATTAGCCATCATTTTGAATGGCACTAATAAGTAAAGATTATCCAGAGTGCACTTTATTCCAGACTATTTGTAGTGTTCATTAGGTGAGGGTTAAGCTATTTTACTTCGTAACAAGGCCTATACGTTACAACCCTATTTTTCACAGTGAATAATCCTTGCACTTGATATGATACCTTTCCCATCAGGATATCTCAAAACGCTTGACAAGATTTACTGTAAGTGAAGTGACTGTATTTTGCAGGTGAACGTCGTCATAGCAATGCACTTCAGAATGTCTCACAAACAGCCATAAAGTGAATGACCAATTTTATCTGGGGGATTATTGGCCAAGACACCAGGAGAAATTCCCTTCTCTTTTTGAATAGTGCCAAGGGATCTTTACTGACCTGAACAGGCAGATGGGGCCTCAATTTAAGTCTTGTCTGAAAGGCAGAACCTACAACACTGCAACATTCCTCCAGGACTGTATTTGGAGTTGCATTATTTAAATATTGGAATAACTTAGGAAACTCCAGTAAATTTGGGAGTAAAAGAACAATAGAAAAAAATACATTCAGAAATAATTTTAATCCAAGGATTAACAGTAATAATTTGGGTTCACAAACCACTGAATAATTTAGGATCCAGTTTTCTAAGCATGTTACAAGTGCATATTTACTGCACTTTCCAGGATAAATGTCGAGCATTACAAATTGAAATGTGTTCAGCACAATTTCACCACCATGGTATGTAATGAATAAAAATATTATACTTGTGTATAAAGGGGCTACATTATGACAAATGATGATCTTAAAGTAAGGCACATCAATGCAGTGCCAGAGAATTGTACATTGCTCAGCATACATATAGTCTTTCTTGTTCCTCAAATGCAGTACAATCCCACAGCTAAGTAACATATTCTGCCATCAATATAGGTGCATGGATGCTGCAGTGGGGCAAGTAAGTAACAATGCATTGTTGGAGAATTGTACATTACTCAGTATAGGTGTAGCTTTCCCTGTTCCTCAAAATTTTAATGCATGCCTTGAGCCCTTCCCACACTCAACTGTATTACCAGCCTGGTTCGGATACACATCCTCAATTCTATGTAGCCAGAGGAGATCCCAAAAGTGTAAGCTGGGAATACAACATATGCTTGAATGTTAAGTTGAATATTTCCAATGTTAAAAAAAAGTCAGATACAAACAATAAGGAATAGGCAGGAAGAGTTCTTTGTTTGTGGAAACTACTGCAGTTGAAGACTCAGGAATATTACAGTAATTTAACAATTTACTTTTTTTTAAAAAATCAATGACTACATACAAACAGGAGTATAGTTAAACAGAGCTGAAGCTGGGCCTCTCATCATCATATGAAGACTATACAGTGTGTTCATTGAGGAGTCTGTACAATAATAACTTACATTTATATAGCACCAGTCATGTAGGATAGTGTCTCTGAGTGCTGTACTGTGGAGGGATTGGACACTGAGCTACGGAGAAAGGGAAAGTAACCATTGGCATGTTTGAAGAGGTCGGTCTTCAGATAATAATAATAATATGGGGGAGATTTAATGGCTAAAGAGGGTGATTGCTAGCTGTAACTGGTTGGGCAAATAGGGCTTCCTCCATTTATGAGGGTCTCGATTCTCGATGCCTATCTAACAGTTATTACTAATTTCGAGAGAGAGAATACAATGCACTTACATCACCACAGCAAGTCTGCTCTTCCTTTTACCTAACACAACGAAGGAGCCTGCAGTTCTTCACAAAAGAAACCTGGAAGTAAGAACATTTTTATTAACTTTTTTTTTAAAAAAATCCAAAGGTACATTGTCATATAATGTTAGTTACAACACACAAACAGGCCATTTGGGCATGAAGACAGATCTGGGAATTTCACCAGCCAATCGCTTAGAATGTATTTTAATATACTTCCTCTTCAAACATCTAATTTCCTTTAACTGACTTGGTTTCAAGTATAGTATGTGGCAAGAGAGGTCCACATTCTGACCACCCACTGTGTAAAGATTTATTTGTTAAACCTTTCCTTTAATACCTCTTTTGATTATCTTAAAACATTGTGCCCTCTCATTACTGACTTGTGGAAATCATCTATTACGCTATACACTATCACAACTTTTTAATAACTGTTAGATAGGATGTCCCTTTACATTACCCAACAATAGTGAAAAAGTTCCAACTTCTCAAGTTTCTTTTCACAACTGAAACTCCTGATTCCTGTAAACATCTCAGTGAATCTACCCAGCATTTGTCATATACTTCCTATGATAGTGTCCTGTACACAAACATGTAGTAACTGTGGCCTAATTAAGGTCTTCTACAAGTTCAACATGACTTTGATGTTGTGTATTCCATGCTTCTAGATATAAAACCAAGGATTCAGTTTGACATTTTATGGCCTTATTTTATATCTTCCTTTTTTGAAAATGAACATCATTTTTTGTCACCACCTAGATAGAGGGTAATTTCCTTTCCCAGAACTTTGGAAATAGCTTCAGAGCCACATCAACAGCCAGATAGCTACTTATCAATCACATCGAATGTGCACAAATTACTCTATTTCAATTTTATAACATTCATCTTATGCCCTGTGGCAAATGAGTCATGGAATTATCTTCTGAAAGGAGGCTGTTGATATCAGCGGGCTGGGTAAGACCCCATGGCCAAGTGATTGTGTCTGGATACAACACTATTGAGCAAAACTAAAATTTCTATTTGTTTAAGAACAGGACAAAATAACCAACAATCAGGTCCATTTTGAACTCTCTTTGCCCATTAGGGTCTCTACTGATGTGCTTAACTGTACAAATGCACAGAGTTTCCCCAACCCTTCAATGCAATTTTCAAGTGACAAATATAAATCAGGTTTCCTGCTATGAATCACTTCCAGCAATGTGGGCTGGGCATTAATCATCCAATAAACCTGCTCTCTCTTACAATTTTTCACGTGCACACAGGAGATTCTGAACTTAAAAAGTCGTTCATTCATATTGCAATCCATCTGTCAAATAACTTCTGTGGATCTTTGTTTGCAGCAAAATTGTCCAGCCATTGATTTGAATGGCGGGGGAATAAACATTATCATTTTTTAAAATAAAAAAACAGATTTGGTTCTTCAATGGTAGAGCATAGAAAAATTGGACAGAGCCATTAATAACAAAACACTTGTTGGAAATTCAATGTACGTAACTACTACAGTTTTAAGAATACAATCATGGAACAAAACATTATAAACTACGGTACCATATATTGCAATGTACCATATATGCATATATTGCATATACCATATCTGCAGCTATTTTTGCACCGCTGTGTTTCTGGGGACTCAAGCAAATTTAAAGTGTAAATCTCTTTACACGTCAGTAAACAAACTATTATTCTCATCCTTCTTACTAAATTCAACTTGCTAAAATCCACCGACTTTTAATAAAATAAATTACTGCATCTTTCATTCTGTAGAGATTACTTCAGACTAGACAGTTTTATTGTTTCGAATTTGAACATGTACAAAATATGTTTTTCAGGCAATAGCCATAACATAACAGTTAACTCATGTGATATAACATCACTCCTTGTAAAATCACTTGATTTGATCCCAGATGCCCTATTTCTATCTGTCGCTATGTTTCCTATGTCAACCTATGGTCCTGGGGGGAAATCAAAAAGCATAAAGAAAATCCTTTGTGAACTCCAACTGAATAAAATATGCACGCAAAGCTCAGTCTCTGGGATTATAACTGATTAAAACGCCCTCCTGATTGTGGGTTATCTAGCACATTGGCTTTTTGATGGGACACTGCTGTGTGCAAGTTAGTGTTCACCGACAAAATACACTTTGAAGTACAGCCTGTAAAAGCACTTTGAATCATCCTCCCGATGCAAAAGGTTGTATGACAAATTAAAGTATTAATATTAATTATTATTATCATGATAATCATTTTCAGATGGGGTAGAATAGCTTTGACCAACTTCTGCTGAGAAACTCCAATATTCACGTGGTTATCAGTGGAAAACATCTTTTAAAAAATCTGCACGCAGTTGGAGACCAATCAATTAAAGCGTTTGCTATCCAATGTAGCCATCCATCCTAATCACAATTGTCCTGCTCTCATCTTGTATCCTCGTATCCAATACACTTGCCCTGGTAATGCCCCAATTGACTCTTTTACCCTAACAATCTAGCCTTAGGAATTAATTCCATTGCAAAGCAGAGTCTTTTCCAGTTATATCCTCAGCTACGCTACTACTATACTTTTTCCTTCCTCCTCGTTTCCTCCAGTGTAGTATTAATCGCTACAATGAAAAGCTAAGAGTATTGTATACGTAAACAATTACTTCAAGGCTGAGCTACACTACCTTTTTCTTTCAGCTTTAAATCAATTGACAGGAAATACAGTGAAGGAAACAATGTGATGTGTTTTCAAGGTTTACATAGAAACTTAATAGAAAATTCATTTAAGTGTGTGTTGTAAGAAACCTTTTAAAGAAAAACTTCCACAGCCTAAAAAATCTTTCAAAAATGCCGGCAAGCTTTTTTTCCTATTCTCCCTGAATCGAACTAGCTATGGAATGCACCCAATGTCAAACACATGATCACACACCACACACACCGTAAAAGACGCATGCACACAGACTGAGTAACACCCCCAAGGGCACGGTGATACGCACACAATAATACACACAGTAACACATACATGGACAGCATAATACATACACAGCAATATACACACACACACACACACACAGAGTAATACACACGCACAAAGCTTTGACATTTATCGGACAATCCCAAACATTACCAAAGCACCATGTTACCATGATAACATTCAAATCATTTGTATAGTTCTGGCAACTTTCACAAAAGAGGCTGCTGGTTGGTAAAACACAAGTCCTAAAATGCATCTCAAGTTTAGGCTTTTTTTTATTTAAAATTAAATCCAAAAGGATATTATTTTATTTCTATAACTGTATCCATATCTAAAGTCACAGAATGAGAACAAACTTAGGTGTGTGCCTAAGTAGCTCGTCTTATCAGTGTACGACAGGTTGAGAAGTGCTGCAATTTTCTTTCTGTTCCTGCCCATCAATGGGTCGATACTTTGACCTTTCAGAAAACAACTTGCCTTGCCCAAATCATTTTGTACTACTCTACTACCAACACATTGGATACCTCATGGCTGGGTTGAGTGCTTCTCACAGATGCTCTCTGTCTGCATGTATACCACGTAGTAAACAATTCAAGTAAAATTTTCACCCACTAGGCAAGTTGTGTGGCCTTTTCATTTTGCAGTTGGTTATGTTGCTTTGTGAGCTGACTGAACTGCTTTTGTAGCCCCTTTGGGTGTCAACTTGGCTCAATTAATAACACTCTAACCTCCAAGTCATGCGGTTATGTCTTGGGGTTTCAAGCCCCATGTTGAGACTTTGAACTCACTGACTAGGGTACTCTGCATTGCCGGAGGTGGTATCATTTCGATAAGACGTTAAAATAAAATGTGGTCCGCCCGTTCAGACGGGTGTTAAATATCCCACTCACAAGTCGAAAAGAGAAGGGATTTTCCCTTGTCCTGGCCAACAATCCTCCAGATGAAACTAGTCATTCACAGTTTTTGGGGCACTGCGGTATTTGTGGGATACTGTGGTGTCCTTAATTGGCTTCCAATTGCATTCACTACACATTACAGTGTTTCTTGTGAAGCACTTTGAGATGTCCTCCCAGCAGGAAAGGCGCTATATCAAATGCAATGATTATTTATTCAAAACTCAGACCGTCTCCAATGCATTATTCCTATGAAGTCGACAATGGCATTCCTCATCTTTAATCTTCACCTCCCCATAAAATCTATGAGCAAGTAAAATCCAAGCTTGTCATCATCTAACCACTTCTGTTTACCTGGTTTTCTTTGCTACTTGAAAATCTAAGTTTGGTTTGGATCTCTTAAGTATAGTGATGGATTTCCACATGTGTCAGACACCCGGCTAACCAAAAATAATCTTCAGAATGCCTCTAACACACCTTTAACAGCCTTGTCATTACAGTGCACTAGGCCTGCTGTCTTGTTAAGGCTTTTACTGCCTCAAGCACTCTTTTGATTTCAGTGGTACAAAAGAGCGCATAAATTTAGGTAGTCAGAAGGAAAACAAGCTCAAATAACAGATTGCTTGTGCATTGGGGTGCACTAGTTTGAGTTTTCATTTCTCTCCCCTCGGCCAAATGTGACAAGAACAGCCAGCGTTTCCTGCACTCTCTGTTTCTACTGGTACACAAATAGAGCACACAGCCAGCATATTGCTGCAATCCCTTCTAATGGGGTATGATTAAGAATCAGGTACCTCTTTGACAAATATTTAAAAAAATTAAATATAAATATCAAGTGAATTTGTAATAAGCAAATAAAAATCAGAGGAATTTAAATGCAGATGTAGATAATTGACAAGGCTGGCAACAGCCTCCACAATACCACCACTGTCCTGACTGCCTTTTAAGTACCTTCAACACCATCCACCCTTATCGCAGAACCTTTTGGTTTTGCTCAAGAAGGAGCATGGATCAAACGAAACGAAAACCCTGCAAACATGTACACGGAGCCGACTGCAGTGCATATTTAGGGCTGCTGTCTTATTAAGATTTTCATTCAAACTGCCCCAAGCACTGCCCTAATCTCAAGTGAGGGCACAAAACCTGGACAATCAGAAGAAAACCCAGCTGTAATATAGGAGACGGTTTACATCACACTCTGTGCTTATGTGTTGGA